GTTTTATAAAGGTACACAGTCTGTGTATCTGGAGATGTAAATGTTGTATGATTATGAGAAATAGTGAGAGGAAAATACTTTTATGGATTGCAGTCTGTTATGTTTTTACGCTGATTTATTGTACACTGATTTTGTTGATTGTTTTCTAAGCCAAAGCATGAGTATTCTCTATTGTGTTTCATTGTGATTTGTTTTACCGAATATCAAACTAGATTTAGAGCTATTATTTAAGGGCCAATGTGTTTTTGTATTTTTATCCGGCATGTGTAACTAAAAACATAGTTTTTGAATATAACGAGTAGAATTTTTTAAATTTAGAAAAGTAGCACAGCTTTGATTATGTGATGGCACAGACCGTTAGAACTGTCATGTCTTAAAATAGTGTTGATACCAACCCAGGTCTTATTTCTCATTAGTATATATTATACACTGAGAGATCAAATTAATTATGGATAGTGATTTGAGCTTAAAAGATGTATTGGTAAATACTGCTGAAGAATATTTCTTACGAAGATGTTTCATTAACATCACCATTCAGACTTCCATTAGCATGCTAGGTGCCATACATAAGTCATGCAGTATTCATTTCTGTAATAATTATGGCATCATGTAGGCATAGACAAGCCCATACAAACAACAAACATTACAAAGAAAAGATAAAAAATACTTGTGTAAAAGATTTAAAATGAGCTTCTTTGGTTTATATTCAGTTACAATAATTTTGACCCCAAGGCAACAGCAAGTATAAGCCAAAAGGTTATGTAGGATGTTTTCTAAAATCCGTGCTTAAAATAATTCATGATGGCACAGTTGAGGTCACACACCTTTACAGTGCTGGTGTTACTTCAAACTTGATTAAACTAAAACGAATGTTATAATATTGTGTCAGTTTTATGAGACAAAAAATAACAGAGTTGGCTTCTTTATAGCCAAGGCAGTATAGAGCATTTTAGATTAATACACACATTGTATGATTTTCTATAGACATTATCTCATGCAAATGGATAAAAAAGCAAAAACTCATGGCTCGTAAATATGTTCATATTTTTAGACATAGATAGATAGATATAATATATATTGTACACAAAGTCTTGGTGCAATAAAAAAAATCTTCAGCAATGCATCTGTTTTGTTGTTATTTACAATAATAGTATGGGACGTCAGTGTTTGTTTGCTTGTTTAAAGGCAAAAGGCAAAAATATTTATAGCTCTTTGGAGCATAGGCTCCTGTTGGACAGTCAATAGTATAACAAACTACACGAGAAAGGGGGAGCATGTGCTTGTTAATTCCAGGAAATGGACTTGAGGTTGTTTCAAGAACCTTCAAGCTTTCATTACAGTCGAGTTTTGATATGTTAATTAATAAACTTATCATGAATGATTCATTTTTGATCCATAAGGGCTGGCGATGTAGGCCCTACTTTATCTACCATCGTGTTTGGCTTCTTTCTTTTTAGCTCACCTGTCACAAAGTGACAGGGTGAGCTTTTGTGATCGCTTTTCGTCCGTCCGTCCGTCGTCCGTCCGTCCGTAAACTTTTGCTTTAAATGACATCTCCTCATAAACCACTGAGCCAATTTCATCCAAACTTCACAGGAATGTTCCTTTGGTGGTCACCTTTAAAAATTGTTCAAAGAATTTAATTCCATGCAGAACTCTGGTTGCCATGGCAACCAAAAGAAAAAACTTTAAATATCTTCTTTTAAAAAACCATAAGAGCTAGAGCTTAGATATTTGGCATGAAACATCTTCTAGTGAGTGTCTACCAAGTTTGTTCAAATAAAAGCCCTGGGGTCAAAATTGGCCCCGCCCCTGGGGTCATTGATTTTCCCTATATGCATAGAGTAAAAACTTAAAAAATCTTCTTTTAAAGAACCCAAAGAGCTAGAGCTTAGATATTTGGCATGAAACATCTTCTAGTGAATGTCTACCAAGTTTGTTCAAATAAAAGCCCTGGGGTCAAAATTGGCCCCGACCTAGGGGGTCATTGATTTTCCCTTTATGCTTATAGTAAAAACTTAAAAAATCTTCTTTTAAAGAACCCAAAAGAGCTAGAGCTAAGATATTAAGCATGAAACATCTTCTAGTGAGTGTCTACCAAGTTTGTTCAAATTAAAGCCCTGGGGGTCAAAATTGGCCCCGCCCCAGGGGTCATTGATTTTCCCTATATGCATATAGTAAAAACTTTAAAAATCTTCTTTAAAGAACCATAAGAGCTAGAGCTTAGATATTTGGCATGAAACATCTTCTAGTGAATGTCTACCAAGTTTGTTCAAATAAAAGCCCTGGGGTCAAAATTGACCCCGCCCCAGGGGGTCATAGATTTTCCCTATATGCATATAGTAAAAACTTAAAAAAAATTCTCTTTTAAAGAACCCAAAGAGCTAGAGCTGAGATATTAAGCATGAAACATCTTCTAGTGAGTGTCTACCAAGTTTGTTCAAATTAAAGCCCTGGGGTCAAAATTGGCCCCGCCCCGGGGGTCATTGATTTTCCCTATATGCATATGGTAAAAACTTAAAAAATCTTCTTTTAAAGAACCATAAGAGCTAGAGCTTAGATATTTGGCATGAAACATCTTCTAGTGAATGTCTACCAAGTTTGTTCAAATAAAAGCCCTGGGGTCAAAATTGACCCTGCCCCAGGGGGTCATAGATTTTCCCTATATGCATAGAGTAAAAACTTAAAAAATTCTCTTTTAAAGAACTCAAAGAGCTAGAGCTAAGATATTTAGCATGAAACATCTTCTAATGAGTGTCTACCAAGTTTGTTCAAATAAAGCTCTGGGGTCAAAATTGGCCCCGCCCCAGGGGGTCATTGATTTTCCCTATATGCATATAGTAAAAACTTAAAAAATCTTCTTTTAAAGAACTCAAAGAGCTAGAGCTAAGATATGTAGCATGAAACATGTTCTAATGGGTGTCTACCAAGTATGTTCAAATAAAAGCCCTGGGGTCAAAACTGGCCCCGCCCGGGGGGGGGGGGGAGTCATTGATTTTCCTTATATGTGTATAGCAAAAACTTAAAAATCTTCTTTGGAAAAACCCAAATAGCTAGAGTTTAGATATTAAGCATGAAACATCTTTAAGTAAATATCTACAAAGTTTGTTAAAATAAACGCCCGGGGGTCAAAACTGGCCCTGCCCCAGGGGTGACATTGTTTTTAACTATATGTGTATAGTAAAAACTTTAAAAATCTTCTTTTAAAAATGCCAATGAGCTAGAACTTAGATGTTTAGCATGAAACATCTTCTTATGGGTGTCTACCAAGTCTGTTCAAATAAACAAATAAAAGCCCTTGGGTAAAAATTGGCCCGGGGGTGGGGGGCCTATATACAGGTGAGCGACCTCAGGGCCATCATGGCCCTCTTGTTTTGCAGCTGTCCTTACTAGCCCTACTTTGAAGTTTAATGATAATAGCTCGTATTCTGATGTTGGCATAGTGCCATATTAAGGCCCTGGTCATCCCAGTTTACAATATTTACATACAAAAAAAGAAAGACCAGAAAGGTTCAAGATATATGCCATAATGCAACAATTCTTAGATGAAAAAGATTCTGACCTCATGGAGCGTGCATTACAAACCCCTGACAAATATACCACGCTATTTCTGAAAAAAAGTCTGTGTGCTAATGCCCAGAAACACGGATTTATATTACAATGTAATATAAATCCGTGCCAGAAAGCAAGGGAGTTTACTTTGTGGTTCGTTCTGGAGACTGGGAAAATGAAAGTATCAAGTGATTGGAACAAAACAATCCCTGATGTGCAATTGCATGATAATTTGATACATATACAAAAAAAATTCCTATCATACCGTTTTTTTTAAAAGATTTCGACCGTATTTCGCTCTTAAAAGGGGTTCACATCAAACTTCCTTCAAATGGCAACTGGTAAATAATATTTTCAGACCCGTCTCTGAATTTGAAGTGATTTTTAAGCACTTATCTATTAGATGCCATTTTTACAATGAAATGGGATCCCGTGTGATACTGAGGCCGGAAACCAGTAATTATAAAACAATCCATCAAAGTTATTAATCGATGTTCTAAAAAACTTTAACTGAAAACCATTACACGCGAGTATATCTTTTGTTCATTTTAAGACGGCTAAACAGTTTACGATGTACGTATATTAAACGTGTCCTACTAGGAAACATCGAAAAAAATGAGGCCTAGGTGTAGGGATCGAATTTGTAGAGCCTATACAATAAGCTCATTTCATGGATGGATTGAAATACGCACCAGACACATGTGCACTAATCTGAAGACGCTATATATAAGCCATTTTGACATCAAAGCAACTGTTCAAGTGCGTGAAGTTCGTGCAAGTAGAGTGATTCAAATGATATACTGTACAGTCCTATTAAAGTTCATTTTAATTAGGAGCAAGAGAAACTAGTTAATTTTTTATTTGCATATAAAAGCACATTTAAATTGCGTCGATATGTCGATCAACATACAAATGTACATGTATAAGAAAAATAAATAAAGAATTTAAAAGCGCCGTGAATTTTTAATACATATATATTGTACCACTGACTTGACTATACACTTGCTACACTTGCTGCTTTCCGTGTCATTCGTTTTAAAAAGGACACCAATTAAACATTTTTAGTCTAATATATAAAATAAGATTGATTTAATTCAGATTATAAACCAATGCTATCTTCGTTAAAAAATAAAAATAAAATAAGGAAAAATTTAGCGACGAGTCGGTAATTATACGGTATTATACCGTACACACGGGTTTTATTGCAATTTCATCGCACCATTGACCTCGGGTGTCATCGTTAGTTTCCGCCGATCAATACTACACAGTGTTTCGTTTAATCTTTTGTTAAAAGCACGTGAACAAGATAATTAGGATAATTACATCTGATTAACAACTTTTGTTTTAAAGAATTTACTATTTAATATTAATAATCTAAATAGTGAATAGTCGTACAATCAATTATGCTGAAGTGTATATAAGCTGTGTTTCGTCTGCTTTCACCACACGGCTCCATAGCTCAGTGGTTAGAGCGCCTGTCTAGTAAACAGGAGGTCGGGGGTTCGATCCCCCCTGGAGCCTTTTGCATTTTTTTCTTTTCTTTTAAATTCAGTAACATACAATCCATTGTTTTTTTCCCCACTAAAATTAATAATTATCAATCAATTCAGTCAATTCCTTTGACATGAAAATTTTGTTTCCATATAAATTCTATTTTTGTATTAATTACTGGACAAAAAATAATTCATTTTTTGTCCAAGCCATAGTTATAACAGTCAAAATGCTTGCTGGGCACACTACAAAGAGAAATTTTAAAAATATTATAATAAAAGACATATTTATATTACATGTGCATATTTTGTGCTTAAGACTGATTGCAAAGCTATAATTGCATTGAGTGTGTGTTGGAGGAAATGGGTACATGTATACAGTGTTTCTGGTTAATAAAAGTAATTTATTTCTAGTACTTTGAGGGACTCCTGATTTTTTTTGACATGGTAGGACATAAAATTTATATAATTTGATGTAGGTCTGGATGTGTAAATCAAGTCACTAGTTTTTTTTCTCTTACAGAATAATTATATTTACTGTAAAAATTACCCAAAATGAATTGAAATGTTTTTTAAAAACTCAAGTCAGGCTAAAAATATCACAAAACTATGGGTTTTTTAATTAAATTTTAAGCATGTTTTTATCATCTATTCCTTATCTTAATCCGTTTTAAGTTATCACATTTCATTTATGTACAATTCAATCTTTATGTCTTTTATTCATTTAATTAATACTTGTACTTTCATTTTAGTTGCTTATATTATCAATTTAATTCTAGTTACAAAGTTGTAGTGTGCTTTAAATATGTACACTTTAATAGGTAAAGAAAGTAAAATTTTACCTGCCTGCTTTCAGCCACAGCAAAGTTCCAACTTTCTACCTCAAGGGAAGAGCCATGTTGACAAGTGGTTCATTTCACAGAAGCGACAGCTAAGCTTACAAAAGGTTGATACTACTACTGTCAAAGCACCTGCTTGTGCGTAAACTAATGCATAAAAGGGCACCTTATGGCCATAACAATCTGTATAAATAGTTGACTTTTATCGACAGTCATCTGTCTTGAATGGCCATTTAAACCCCTTACTCCCCCCCCTCCGGTACCCCCTGATGTATCTGTCTGATAAGGGGCAGCGACTAGAACAATTATCACTTTTTTAACAACATTTCTCAAACAAAAACAACTGTTTAGGGCCTACATGGGACATTTTTTCACTTTTTGAGACCTCAAAGTGGGTGGGGGGGTCGAAAGTGCATTTAATCACATATATATGAGGTAAAGGGTTAAGGTACATGTTCCTCCACCAAAATCATTCTTAGTGGGCACCCAAGGTCTTCCTCAACCAGTAAAGCTGGACAGTCAACATATGACTATAGTAAGCTGTGCTGGATTCAATGATTAAGAACAAGATTCCTTGCACACAATTTTTTTTTGCAAACAAGACATATCACAAGACAATGGCTGCTACTCAACCCTGTACATTTGTTAATGTACCTAAAGACTGTATGAGCAAGTGTAAAAAAATTGAGCCGCGTTACAACAAAACCAACATATAAGATAAATGTCACCTTTGATAAAGTAGACTAATGAGCCACATCACGACAAATCCAACATAGTGCATTTGCAATCAGCATGGATCCAGACCAGCCTGCGCATCTGCACAGTCTGATCAGGATCCATGCTGTTCGCTTTCAGTTTCTCTACTTGTAATAAGGTTGGTAAGCATTCTGATCAGACTGTGCGGATGTGCACGCTGGTCTGGATCCATGCTGGTCGCAAACGCACTATGTTGGATTTGTCGTGACACAGTTAATTAATCTACTTTATCAAAGGTGACCTTTATCTTGACCCAAATTATCCCTATCTCTACATAAAAGTACAGACCAACCCAAGTTAATGATATCCAAAGGAAAAAGCACCACCAAATGTATGTACAAAAAAAAATCATCAATAAATGCTGTATGAGCAAATGTAAAAAGCTATCTTAATTAACTCCACCTAAAGTTAGAGGTCCACCCAAGGTAAGTTAGTGGTCAATAAATGAAGTTGCTGGGAGAAACTGTGGGGAAGAGTAATGGTGAGTGTTAGAGATACAGAAGGACAACAATTTACAGTTGAAACTGTACTAATGGTCACCTTATTTGATGGTTACCTGGCCCGAATGAAACTATCACTCTACTTTATACATCTGTGCATCATGGTCTAAAATGCTTAGCAAATCTCAAGTTCGGCCATGTTAAGCAGTCAGCAAGGTGAAATGGCCAGACTCTCTGCTGCTAATTTTCAAAGATGACACACTTCAGAGATTAACAAAAGCTGCAAGTCATGTACCAGATATAAACACAGGCTTTAATGACTTTGAAGAAAATTTGCATAATAGCACATACAACACATCGTAACTACAAACTGTTCTGATTTGATCATCTGCACGCACTTGGAAAGTGTGGGGGGAGATTATTCAAAATACTATATATATATAAATAGTTTACCCCGTAATAGGTATGAGAGGGTCGGGGTCATCCCCCACATACCTTACATTAATTATACATGTATATGACGTTCCTAATACTTTTTATGTACACGTATATCGTTCGGTTAGCTCAATAGTTGGACTGTGAATCAGGCGCCCTGAGTTTGATTCCCGGACAGCGCATGTCACTTTCGGTGTGATTGATCATGAAATCCTTTCTACTGTCATTCGCAGTGTACCTCTGCTCTGGCATGTACAGAAATAACAGTTCCTTGCGAAAGTGAAGGCAACTTATACTGGTAAACTGCTTGACAGTCTGCCCAGGAACGATGTGGTGGCTGAACTGTGCTCTGGTAAATTCAATGTGGCTTACTACCCTGATCCGGAAGGAAAACTACCAATACCACCACCACCATCTTTATTTATGTGGATACATTTTTAAAAGTTCAAATTTGAAACTTAAGTATAATGTACCACCAGTATTTTTTTAGGAGCATTGAGTGATTTAAAGAACCACATTCCTTGCCTTTAGAAATGAGGGAAAACAACAATTGTCCATTTTTAACTTTTGTTTTATTTTTCTGCAATTATATTAGTATTTATGGAATGTAACAAAGTTTTTTTCTACTTGTTCTATACATGTATTTACAAAATGTATCTTCAATATTTATAGATTATTATATAACAGTAATAATGAAGCAAAATAATAACATATATCATACAATAAATCCATCCTTGTTTACCTGTTAAATTATAAATATAATAAATGTAGATAAATACTATAGTATTTGATGTAAACATGTTTAATAATACAAAGGTTGACTACAACACTGTAGTAAGTCCTTTATTATTTTATATAAGTTACTGCAGTTTTGCAGTCAACCCTAGATATAAGGAAAAAAGCACATTTTCCACACATTCCCTTTATGAATTTGTTATAACAAAAGAACATAGAATTTAAGCTGTATCATTAAAGGCCCATTAAGCCGAAAAAGTTTTTCATTCTAGGTGTTCCTTTATAGATGCCAAAAAGTTACCCATATAGCATTTAAATGATTTTAGTCCTATCATTAATAACCCATTAAGCCAAAAAAACTATTTATTATAGTTGTTCTATTTCAGATTACAAAAAGTTACTCATTGGTCATATAACTTCACCATTTTTTTGCTTCTTTTTTGCATTTTGGCATTAAGTACACTTTTAGTGAACTCTGAGGTCTTAAATGTGCCTTTAGGGAAGTTTTAATGTGTTTATTTTGACAAAAATTGTAGAACATGCATGATAAGGTACTACCTGTGCCTTGCCTTATTAAGAGATTTGTTATTAACAGGTGGAATTGTGAAAATTTCATGTAAAAATAATAGAAAAATAAACAATTCTTATGAGAAGAGATAAAAAGAAATCAGTATTTACATAACATATTTTTTATTATAAGTATCTTTGCACAGAAATTATAATTCACACTCCCTGATTAATCAAAAACACTCTATATATACAAATACACCTGGGTCAAAGTTCGGAGACCAGTCCAACTTAAGATGTGGATTCTGACTGGTTAATTTGAATTCAAAACTGGCCAATCACAAAGTAACTTTTTTGACTGGTTCTCCAAACTTAGTTTTCTTATTCAAATTTGCTTTGTATATAGACGCAGACAAAATAAAACAATAAAGAATGTGTATAAAAACAATATCATTTTGTTATATTGCACAAAGCTATGTTAAAAACCAGTTAGTACATAAAATAAAATGTTTAATATGAAAAAAAGCTTTAAACAGAATGATATTTGAATAGCACTATAATTGGTTGATGAATAGTCATCAGTTCTGTTTAGTTACTGAAAACTGTGAATAAGGCAAAATCAATATCAGACAATTCTTTAATTATGAGCAATTTAAATTGTCTTGAAAAAAACCAAAAAAAACCCCCCAAAAACCGGATTTTATGACTTTACCAAAGCTGAAAAAAAAACTGTCATACATTAAAGGGACTCCACTGTGGTTTAAAAGCCTAAAAACACAATGTTTGCATTTCCTACACTTCAAACAGAAATATATGCAAAGATAGTTAGGAAATATACTTTGAAATAAATTGAAAATCTTATTTTATGCTTTCCTTAACCCCATTGAGTGAAAAGCGAATAGCCTTTAAACGCTTTTCATTTTTGGTCATTTTTTTACAATTTGAATAATTATTCTGGAAAAAAGAAGAAATGTGCGAATAATCTGAAATTTTTTCAATAGGATTAATGGTCTAAACCTGCATCAAATGGTACATTTATCTGGAAAAAATATATTCACTCCCATCATGTCAAAAAACTCAGTGAAGTCCCTTTAATAAAATTTAAAAATTCACAAGTCATACACTTAGTCTGATTTGTGTTTAGTTTATTTTAGAGATTACATTTTTACAATTTATTTGCTACTACATCGGGATACTGGCATATATAACTGGTAGTAGCATAAATGCAGTCTGGTATAAAAACAACAACAACAAACAACATTAATAATATCATGACCTTGCATTTACATGTATATATCACATTCAACAGAAGAACATGTGGAGAAACATAATTCAATCTATGAACAAAGTTATATTGCAAATCTTTTACACTACCATGTGGTTTTAACATAAAAAATTTGCCAGAGATTTTTCAGACATCTTCCGTTTTTCCAAAATTTCTGTTAAAACCGACAAGTTAATTTACTGTATTAAATTGCATATATAAAAGAAATCTAGCTAACATTTAATACAAAAATATCACAAATCTTTTACTTACATATTAAATAAATCTAGGATAGTTCATTGCTTTTTTTCCAACAAATATGAATTGCATCTTGGGAGTAAGATATTTTTAATATACATGTACTCACTGGCCATGTAGCACCAGTGAAATAATTTCAATATTCTAAAACAGAAAACATTGATTAAATACTGATGAATGCGTTGAGTTTTCACTTAAATTAGAACTGTCTTTCAAATAGACTTTTATTGGAAAGACCTTACTGCGTGCTAGAGAATCAAAGTAGAGGAAAATCTATTTTTAGCCTTAGTGACCTCACTTCAGAGCGAGACATATTCCATAATTTTCACTTTTTCTTTTATGCTACTAGATGAAATTCAGCAATGGTTATCATACAGTGAGTGATAAAAATCATATCTCATTGATAAAACCAAATATGCATGAAACAATTGTTCCATGTACATGTAAATCTTCATTTCTTTTGTATATTTTCTCATATAATTTTAACATAATAAAATATGCAAATTGCACTTGTTTAATAGTTTAACATTGTATAAAATTTATCTATTATTGACAATTATCAATCATATTCCAATAGCTCTGGTACTACGGTATCTTTTGCCCCCTTTTCCCAAAACTTGGACATCGCTGAAATTGCTCCTGTTTTGATTTTTGGTGATTTTCTCTCCTCTGGAGTGTCTATATCCTCTCCAGTTTTCACATTATGTGCCGATGACTTTGATTGGCTAGAATTGTTTGGTGCATTTGTTTTATTGGCTGTTACAGTAGTTTTGATTGGTTGTTTTGGTTGAGCATGATCTACTGTGTCAGTGTGTATAGGTTTGTTTATATTCCCACTCGCGAGACTGATTTGTACGGATGATTTAGACTTAGTGTTACTATCGGCAACTGAGGTCTGCTTCACATTTGAAGAAACTTGTATACTTTGTTTTGGAGCTTGCATTTTATGGCCGACTGACTTGCCAGAGTCAAAGTCATGTGACTGATAAACTTGTGTTGGCACGTTCGGGCGTGCTTTAATTTGTTCACCCGTCATCAAGGAAGTTGCACGTGCAGGTTGAGCCGGTTCGGTAGATGATGATACAGCTGTTTGAGGATGATCTCCTGACGTATGGCGTAGTTTCTCCAACTGTTCTTTAGGTACACTTCTAGCAGTTATACTGTGAATCTATAAATAGAAACCAATAAGAATCTAGTTATACTCTGATTCCGAAAATAGCATCCAATCAAAATCATGCATGATTAATTTTCAGATAAAAGTGACAAACAGTAAGCAGTTTATTCATAATAAAAAATAAAATATATTTACATGCTATATATAATATGTATAATAATTCATATTTTGTTGGAAAGCTTTTGAATACAATCGTACAAAGCAAATTGTGTATCTGATATAAAAAGAACATAACAAATGTATTTAAGCAGAATAAGAAAAGAACATTTTTGCTTTGAAATTAAAGAAAACAGACAGATCTGATAATAATTCTAAAACATAATATATACTATAGTGTGAAAAGAAAAAAATAATAGAATACAGTATAATTACTTGTTACACGAGAAATATGTAAGTGGTTATATACGACTATCAAAATAATATATTCTACAAAAACTTGTATAGTTTTACCAGTATATGTAGCAAATAACAGTTTATGAATTATAAGCGTTTAAAACAAGAGCTGTCCGTAAGACAGCGCGCTCGACTTTTTTATTGCTTGCCAATAAAAAAAGTTTTTGCAGTAAAAGGCAATACAAGAATCTCTGTATTTTTAAAGTGAACAATGGCCATGAGCATTAAGATATTTAGTGAAGAATTATTTTACTGAATTGTGTGATACCCTTGAACACTGCAGCAAAGTTTGAAATGTTTAAGTCAAAAGAGAATCATGATTGTAAACAAGTATTCCAACTTTCAAATTAATATCTCAAACAGTTCAGTCAAAAAGTGGACTGGTACTAAAAACTTAACCAAGATTCTAAGTCGATAAAAGGCCTTAATTTTTAAAACAAATCCTTGACAGAGTTACCTTCTCTTGCGTACAGATGGGGGTAATGATGTGAAATAGCATTAAAAGTTTCAAAGCAATATCTCAAAGGGTTAAGGCAATAAGTGGATTTTACCCATATTCAATGTATTTTCTAAGTCAAAAAGGGGCATAATTCTGTCAAAAACCTTGACAGAGTTATGTCCTCTTGTCTGTTGATGAAGGTCGTGATGGTAAACAAGTATGGTCAGTTTCAAAGCAATACCTCCAATGGTTTTGAAATAAAGTGAGGTGGTACAAAAAACTTAACCAAGCTCAATACACTTTCTAAGTCAAAAAAGGGCCATAATTCTGTCAAAAACCTTGACAGAGTTATGTACTCTTGTCTGTAGATGGAGGTTATGATGGTGAACAAGTATGGTAAGTTTCAAAGCCATACTTGTAATACTTCTGAAATAAAGTGGGGTGGTACGAAAAACTTAACCAAGGTGTGACGCCGACGCCGACGCCGGGGCGAGTAGGATAGCTCCCCTTTTCATAGAAAAGTCGAGCTAAAAATGGGTACAACTGAATATATAACTACATGTATTACACAAATGTACATTTGAAAGTAAAAAGTAAATTGTGAATGTGGACCCCTTTTTCTATATAACAGACTTCAAATGTTGAATTTCAAACTGCTTAGATATCAAGAAGAGTAACACTTTCTAAGAAATGTATATGCCATTTCTTCAAAGGAATATGAACATAATGAAATGGAGAAAAGATTGTAATATATATCATTTCTTTCATCAAGGGACATAATTGCATAAGATTTTTAAATGGTCCATGGTTACATATATATCCACCTTAGTGCAGTAACAGGTTAACTCCTATTAAATTATATAAAGAGTTAATCTGTTACTGCACTTAAAGCAACAACATGTAACCCTTTCGTACATGAAAACAGTCAAGGGTCATCAGTCAATTATATATTTCAAGTTAAATTTCAACAGACAAGAAAAATAACATAATAATGTAAAAAAGTAGCCAAGGCACATAACTATGTTCTGTATAAGAAAAGGCAGGGCCATAACTCTAAATTATATATATCATAATAATAATAGGCTGAAATCTAACATATGCTGAATAATTATAATTTCCTCTACCTTTTGATATGCCATTTTTTTCTCAGTAAAAAGAATACGCTAGTAATTAAACCAAAATCCAAAGCATGGGAGTCCACATTTACAATTAATTTATGTACTATATAAATCTATAAATATAATATAAATCTATTAAATTCATTAATTAATACATGTCTATTATTGAGGACAATTAAAATTTATGAGTTAATGGAAACTTTAAAATTTTGTGTGTGCTTTAATTTCGTACATTGGAAATTATAAATAACTTTAATAGGACTAACATTACTAGCAATTCATTGCTGATTACAAATTTGTTATTACCATTTGAAGTGATTCTGTGAATGTAAACATAGGAAAATGTGAACAAAAAATTTGCATTTCTATTTTGATATTATAATAGAGATATTTTGATATTATTATACTAGAGATATCATAATTTTTTTTTTCAGTTGGTCAGTATACAACTACATAGACTATTCACAAAACAAACTGTCAGGGTTGACCGCCAAACTGCAGTAACTTATATGAAATACAGAAGGACTTGCAACAGTTTTGCTATCAACAAGTCAAACAAAAACACACATGCACACAATTATTTTAGCCAATCAGTCCAAAAAAAAAGAAAAAAAAACTTTGTCAAATTATAAATATTAAACATGTTAAACATGAAAGCATATATATACTAAAAACTTTGCAGATTCAACAAAACTGGCTTGTATTTGCTAAATGGCTTTTTAAATTGCAAGGTATAAAAGGAAAAATTTTAGATCAAGAAAAACACTTCATATTGGCATTAAACAGTAAATAGCACACTTCGGAAATAAACAAACTTTTTTTTGCAACTAAAATACAGGAAGAAACTGGCTTGACAAGTTAATAGAAAGTAAACAACAAATTGGTGGCCTATTGTTTAAAGTGTCTGCCTCTCAACTCAGGGATCATGGGTTCGAGCCTTACTAAGGCAACAACCATGTTTCTTCTTATAACACCAGAAGTGAAATGGACTCTAAAATGGTTCAAAGAAGCTATATTTAAGTTTCTTTGCAATCAAACTTCAAAGAATAATGTATTTAACTAAGTCACGTAAGGCAATCTTTAATAAAATGCCGAATAATCAGTTAATTACTTTATACCAGTTTCAACCTATCTGATATTCAGCATAAAAAAGACAAACAAGCCACTCTCTTTCTTACAACTGTGACAGATTCTATCAGAAATAAGGTTACAGAATGATAAAAGATAAGACAAAGGAACTACTATGGCACACAAAACACTCTAAATTCAGAAGTAACTATATAATATACATGTAGGACACAGTATACCTAGTACATTTGTAGGTAGACAATGAACAGAAACTGTTTCAAATATCAAAGGCAAAAAAAACAACAACAACAAAACAGAAGGTAAGAGCAAGGTTTAAGGATGATTTTGTAAGTAATGTACTAAATTAATGTAGTAGAAGTTTTATTTGAAACATCAGCATCCTTTAAAGAACAGAGAAAAGAAATCCACACACTAATATTGGTTGTCAAGAATGGAAAGTCACACAGAGAATGATGTTTAACTGTTCACACATGTACAGAATTTTTTTTTCCTTCAAAAAAAGCTTAAATATGAAAGATTAGAATTTAAATGAAAGCTTGAAATCACAAACAAATTGAGTTGTCCTTTACATGTAAAAGCATCAAAATTCCATCGGTACCTTTAGTCAGTTAATTTAATTATATTCTATTCTCAATTCTTGTGGGTTTTTCCCCTTCTATTATGTTTAAGTGTTAAAGAATGTAACTCTTGTGTAAATAATGCAGTTTCTTCTCAAACACTGTTTATGATTTCAAGCTTTGTAATCAAACCCTGAAAATTAATAAACTTCAAATTGCAGACCAGTCTAAAATCTTAAGCTTCTGATTGGATGAACCCGATTCAAAATATGAAATTGACCAATGACAGAGCATCATTTATAGACTGGTCCACAATCTGATTTTAAAATAATCTTGAGGGATTTCCCAGGTTAGTATGATAATCTAGACCAACTATTGAACATCTATTTAAACAATACAACATACAGGCTCTTGTTGACCTCCATCAGACTGTGCTTCCTGCAAGTCAAATTGTACTTTAACACTTGGTAAACTTACTGTTACCTTATTTAACATTTTAACTTTCTAATATTTTCACAATAATAATTATATAGCTTAAATTTTATGTACAGTTTTCTTTAATCAAGGCTTGATGGTATGGCCTACATTTTTTTAGTAACAACAAAGATGGGGTTACAAAAACAAAGGGAGGGAACTGCATGCATACTATATAGTATAATTCATCTTATTACAATAAATAATCAGTCAGTATATATTTAAAAACTGCTTAAGAATGGATCAAACTTGTTTAAATTCAAACCACCCAGTCATGCATTTATAACATTGTCAGTATTTTCTTATAAGGTCTTTAGGCATGCTACAGTTCAGCATGCCAAGACTATATTATGTAGTTATTACTCATTTTATTTTATTTTTTTACATTAAAATCCCTTAAACTTAAAGTTCATTACATATAATCAACATTGAAGGGGTTACGTAAGAGTCATGCTTCAATGTGCATGCTTTAACAGTAAGTCAACAACCGTTTATTTATATGGGGAAAAAAAACAGACATGCTTGGTTTTAATGTCATTCAAACACAAACAAAATTTAGTTTTTTTTAAACAACTCATTACTTTAACTTACCGATGACCTTTGAACCTACAGATTATATCCCATAATATTTATATATTATGTCATGATTTCTAACAAAAAAAAAGAGACTCTCTATTGTTTCAAACTTATTTCCTTTATACTGCTCGCACACCCAAAAGTGATTACCGATAGTACTTGCCACTGCACCAGTATAGAGCCAGCCCAGCCTGCACTTCAATGCAGTCTGCCAAGGCTTTATACTGTTGGCAGATTGGGGTGCTTGATTTGTATTTCTGATTTTTTAAAATCTCTTAAACTGTGGTCAGTTCCATTTCAAAGTAGGGCAAATTCATTACATAAATCTAGCCGGTTAAGTGTTTAACCATATAATTATCCTTAAAAACATTGAATATGTTCTGAATAAAATTTGCCCATTTTTTTAAAAAAATTATTCCAACACAAATCTGTATTCATATTTAACCTGGTCCGTCTTTTATCAATACTAATATTCATGCAAAGAACGCAACAAATCTTTCTTTCTGAAAATTTTAGTTATTTCTTAATTTTGCTATTAAGACAAAACCAATGTGTGTCATAGAAATTTGAGATTAGGATAATACTTTTCTGTGATATTAATTACAACAATAAAATAGTGAACACTTAAAAGCAGATTTTGTGAAATGTTTTAAGAAAATCTTTCACACTTTTAAAATTTTTCTCTTTTTTTTTGTAAATTTTCTACTTTTATTTTATAAAAATACCTACCCTTTTAATGGAGGAATCTTTGTCACTGCTCTTTATCCCACCGAACATAGCTTTGAGTCGGTTAACACTAGGAAGTTCTATAGAACCATATTCCTCGTTAAATTCTGTACGACTCTCAGGTAAATCCTGTTCCCTTGTATCGCCTATAACACAATACAATGATTAAATGTTACAACTTACGTTTTCTACACCAGCAGTGTATGAATGGTCAATTGTATGAATAGTCATGGACATTTTATCTTTTTTTTTAATTGAAACAATCAAACATTGAACTTTAATTGAAATGCTGAATTTACGTATTAATTTTGAAGATAGTGTTTATCTTTCTTTCTTTCCCATAAAGGGACCTGTTTCCAAAGGCAAAAGAGCCCTTTTTTCAAAAAAGGTTTCAAAAAATTTCTAATATTGACTATAAATATCAATAATTTGGCTGTTTTCTTAAATTATTACAATTATTATTTTTGTTGTAGTTGTTTCTTACATATCTTATTTTTTATTTAAAATAGAAGATTTCCAAATATTGTAGAATCAAAATGGCTAATCAAAAGGTGAAGTTACATTTTTGAAAATTTGACAATGTCAAGGTCAAGAATGATCAAGGTCACATTCCAATCATGAAAGTATTGGAACAACCCAGGAGAGAATTTCACTCATGGCAATCTTTGAAATTACAGTGTAATTATGAATATAAACAAACAAGCAACACAAATAAGAAAATTCAGTAATCTTTAACTGTCTTGATGCATTCATCAGAGCAAAAAAATTTTTTGGTTTGTGTGTAAATATGAAGATTTTATAAATATTATTTGTTTATTCATTATTTTTTATTATTTATAGTTATCACAATTCATTACCACTGTTCTGTTTACCTTTAAGGAAAGTTGGTTCAGGCCTTTCTCTAGGGCTTGCTGGAGGAACACTTGGTGCTTGACGTTTTGTTGCTTTGAGTTTAGAAACATCCCCTTCTATTTTCTTAACCTGAAAATAAATGTAAGGTTTTAAGTTTGGTTTGCAATAACAGTGTAAAGGTTATATGGCCACTTTCCAGCTTTACTGGTGGAAGAAGACCTCTCTACAACCACTGGCGTTCCATGAGTTAACTGAAAAACTTCCTCACATGAAAGAATCCAAAAACCTTTAGCAATACAATGAGCCTTTTTTGCACAATGTTTGACTGTACTTATACTTACATCTTATAAATATTTTTAACTTCAACATTTTGTTGTTATAACAATACAAACATGTGTGTTATACAAATTGTTTGTAGTACAGTCAAACCTCTGCACAATGGACCTCCTTAACCATTAACCTCTAATTACCCGAGTAGCTTAATATTCCAACAGTTAAACTTTACTATAAATTTAATCTCTCCAGAGAAACACCTCTCAAAAACAACTAAAATACGTGTCTCTCATGTTATAACAAGTCATATGAATGTTTGTAGTACAGTCCAACCTCTGCACAATGGTCCTCCGTAAAGCATTAACCTCTCACTACCCAAGTAGCAAATCTTCTAACAGTTTAACTTTAGTATAAATTTAATCTCTCCGATGCAGCACCTCTCAAAAGCTACTTAAATACATGCACCTCTCAAAAGCAACTTTTTACAAACACATCTCTCATGGGTGCTACTTTTCACAGGTTGTACTGTTAGTCAATTTTTTTTTACAAATTTCAGCAACAAAATAAATATACAATTGATATTTTAGTGCAAAAGTCTTTGGAAATGCTCTGTACCTGTTTTTCAGTTGACACCACATGTGCTACTGTTTGGGCAACTTCGTTTTCTAGTTGACCTAATTTATCTTGTTCTTGTAGAGCATTTACTGCCCTCATCTTATCTTGTAGTGACTGTACTTTGTTCTCTAGATTAGTTACAGTATTAGCAGCCAGGTATATCTGAAATATATAAGATTTAGTTGTCACTTATATCCATGTTAGTTTTACCTTTACCCTGCTGAAACCTATACCCCAGCCTTATTCAGCCACGCCAGCATGAAACACAGGGTTTGCAAAATCTGATTTTGAAAAATCTGACAGAAAACATCAAGAATTTGTTCGTCTTATTATAAATATATTGACCAAAACAAACAACGACTTGTTTTTTACTTTGAATTTCTTCTGTATGTAACTGAATGTTAGATGTATTAAAAGCTCAACAAACCTTTTCCTCTGTGCGTGCTCTTTGTTTCTCCTCTATAGGAGATTTCCTCTGCATCATAGGGGTATCTGTGACATAAAAATCTCTCCTGTACGGATCTTTATTCTCGCGTTTCGGCCCTAAATTCACTGTTAATTTCTCACTAGAACCATCGTGAGAAACATTCAGATCTGAGGTATCCATGGTAACATCTGGAGAATGTGTCACATGACTACTTGTATCACTAGAATTCTGTCTGTCCGTATGTAATGTATCACTACGTTGAGATTCATTGTTGTCCTTAGCAACCGCTGAGTCTTCATTTGAACTTGACCTAGATAAAGTCCGTCTGCCACTTTGAACTCTATTTTTGGAATCTTTCAAACCACCCATATTTATTGTCATTGGATTTAAATTAAACACCACCTCACTTTTATGAGAGTCATCGCTCGCGTCTTGAGACGTTTCCACGGTTACGTCACTTGTATCACAGACAATATGTGAAGCATCACTATCGGGGTTAAATACACGTTCCGTGTCCGAGTTTCTAGGTGTACTTGTAGCAACATCGCCAATACCTTTCTCCCTCATCACATATGCTTCTGTACTGTTTAAATAATCCAGCGTGGATTTTGTCGCTTTCCGCACATTTTCAGCTGCCTCTTTCTGTAATGTACAACCCATTCTTTTAAATAACAACGTTTACATGCGTTATATTACAATATACCAGTACCATTTTAGCAAAACCCGTAACCTCTAATACCTATTACAGGGTGAATTAACAGGATTATCCTTTTTAAAAAACAATTTTAACAATATTGAACCCTTAACCTGCTGAGTTTTTATAATGGACTTGCCCTGAAGTGACTTTAGAACAGTCCATTCTATCTTTAAGGTATTTCAATATCAAGATATCAAAATTAAGCAATCAAAAGAATAGAATCTGTTCAGACTGAACCAATGTTCAGGCTAGCCTAGCTCTATACTGGTGGCAAAGGCCGCAGCATGGCCAAGTGGTTAACGCGTCAGACTAGTAATCTAAGGATTGCTGACAGCATGGGTTCAAACCCCCATCAGGGGCAAGCCGTTGTTTCCTTGAAAAAGAAACTTTACACTCATTACTTAGTACTGACTGGTTCAGGAACGGATTCAAGAGTGTTTCAATAAGCTTATAGCTTCCAACACAATTGAACTAAAATAAATTTGTATAGACTAAAGGTCAATCACTTTAGGCTTCACCAGGTCAAGGGTTAGGACACACACACAGGCTACTATCTAGCAAGGGGAGAAAACCCACATTTCTACAATAAGGAGGTATAGGGATAAGTTACAAAGGGAGGTAATCACAAGCATATTCTAACAAAGGGAGGTTATCACAAGCACTTACTGTTAAATCATACTGGGGGATGTAGTGAAATGAAGTAAAATCTTTCAAAAATGTATTTATTATAAAAACTATTAATCTTATATTGTAAAATAAAAATTCTAATTTCAGAAATAGTGATTAAAGGGCACTGAGGTTTAAAAGCCTAAAAACATAACTTTTGAATTTCTTACATAAATGAGTTTCGGCACTTTAAACAGAAATATATGCAAAGTTAAGAATTGTACTTTGAAATAAATTGAAAATCGTATTTTTATGCTTTTCTTAGCCCAATTTGAGTGAAAAGCGTTTAAATGCTTTTCATTTTGGGTCATTTTTGTGCAATTTGAATAATTATTCTGGAAAAACAAAGTGAGCTAATGATCTGAAATGTTGCACAAAGATTAGTTGTCTAAACCTCTATCAAATGGTACATTTATCTTGAAAAAATATTTTCAGTCCCATCATGTTAAAGAACCTCAGTGTAGTCCCTTTAACAAAATGGTGATTTTAGTGATCTGATTGATATACAGTGATTTTTATTTTTTTTTTTGAAAAATTATAAATATACATATATAAAATGTTTTTTTTTTTTTTTTTTTGCTGATTTTACAGTAAGTTTTTCTTCCACCAAGAGGACATAATTATACAGAGAAATTTCTTTCATTTTAAAGGTACCGTAGTGTATTTTTTTTATAATGGTTAAAAAATTCTTCATAACGAAAAAGAAAACTATTTTCAGGAAGATTGGCATTGTAAAGCTGCAAAGAAAGAAAATTAAGCGGAAAAAAAAAACTGAAAGAGAGGCTTGAAAGTAAAATCTTTAGCATTAGGAAACCACTTTTGGTCAGTTTGACCATTTGCCTCCTTCCATATCTTAATGCTGAAGAATTTACTTTGAAGCGTCAATTCTCCGCACACCGTGTAAAGCAAGCGTGGGCGTTCCCCCATTAAGCAAGCACTCACCATTACATAAAATTGGTTAGAATATTCTAGAACAGCCGAGCCGGGGAGCGTACTTATAACCTCATTATTGTTCTCGACGTCGTCTGAATTTACAGAATAAACGTCCGACTCTAGATCTTCTAGAAGCTTGTCCATGGCTGCGATACTTTTGTCAATCTCGGTTAACTGTGAGAGGTTAGTACACGGAGATATAGGATTAACATGAGTGACGATAATGTTACCAAAGTGAGCCGCGTCACATGATTTTGTTCCACAAACACCCCCCCCCACCCCCCCCCCCCCAAAAAAAAAGGTTCTTACAATTTTCAGTTATTTTTCTTTTATGTACATTGAGTGTCGATTTCAAAAAATATTCCCAGCTTGTTCAAAATTTTAAGTTTCCCATTTAAAACAACTCCAGTCTTATCATAGAAATTATTCTACAAGTTTATTAACGTTTAATTTGTCGTATAATTTCTTGAATTCAGGAACAAAATCATTTGACAAAGCTATAGTGAACCCACTGTGTTTCATGTACAGAAGAATAGCATTTAAAGAACCATTTCCGAGAAATATTAATATAGTTAATATTCTAAAACATGTTTCTAGCCAAGTTTATTCTATATATATGCATTGTAAAATCGAAGTTATTGTACCACTTTAAGGAATTTTAATTATCCCTATATTGTTTAAGATAAACAAATCAAGTTAAAAATGAGGCATATGTGAAGTCAAATTAAAATTGGCTTGAAACATGTTCATTGAACAGAACATTATTATCATATGGTGGGCCCTGACATCTGCATAACTGTAAGCACAACAAATAATTAGGAGGTAGGTTTTTATCATGCATTTTCACTTTTCAACCCAAAATTACAGTCACTTATTCCAATTGACGTCATTTAAGTAACATATCAGGATGTTTTATATTAAATGTAATGGTTACATTACATTAAAATGACATGACGTCATTCGATAAAAATTTTATCTTGTAAGTTATATCTCCAGATATCTATGATCAAAACAATTACCATATCTACAGAGTTAATAGCCTTCACCAGGGTGAAAAAGAAAGAAATTCCTGCAAATATTTAATTTCTGAATTAAATGTACAAGCATTAAAATCCAGCTTTCTTTTTTTTAATTTCTTTTCATAAAATACCAACTTAAAAGCTAATGCCAAAGTTACTCAAATTAAGTCTTTTATGAAACAAAATTGCTGATTTTGTGAAAATATGAGTCAGTTTTGTCATAAAAAGTCAAAAAAGTTTTCAAAAATAAAATTGTTTTAAGTTGCAAATGCCATCACTTTTAAGGTGTTTTCATTCTAAATAAAAATGAAATTTGAAGGAATTTCTTTACTTTTGTTTAAAGATTTTCCTGTATACATTTAAATATTCCAGTGAAAGTAAACAAGTATGGAAAATAAGGCAGTGAAAGATTGTTTCATAGTAACATGTTAATTATTACTTCTACGAAAAGTAAGGAAGGAAAGAAACAGTGGTTAAAAGAGTTCCGTTAGATAGTCATGTTTTTTTTGTTTTTTTGTTTTTTCATATCATATATTATATAATTATATTAACCTGATTAACAGAAAATTCAAACATTTTCCTAAGCATATACAAAATATAGAATCAAATAGACCAAATCTACCTCTTTTGAAGATGACAGCATATCCTCGGCAACTTTTGATACACTTTCTTTCGTTTCCGCCACTCTTTCACTCAAATTATGCAAATCAGAATCCTTAGTTTTGTCCTCTGAAGACTTTGGCGTTTTATTTGATGATGACAATGAAGATGATAATGATGATGATGATGATGTGGACTTAGCAGGTCGTGTTTTAGCCCGGCCCAATCCGAGGTACGATAAATCGGGGAAATCATCCGCAGACTGTTTTTTCTCTGGGGATTTTGGTGATTTGGGAGATTTGGCAGTAATTGGAACACTTTCTGTAAAACAAGGAAATATATGAAATAAAATCATGTTCAAGTCAGTAAAATGTTACTATAAGCATCATATAAATCGGACATGAAGTTTGAAAATAGAATAGGAACTGACTCTTTAAGTGACATTATGCCCATCTAAGGGTATATGGTGAGTGAACAGGTGAAAGTCAAAATGAGTTTACACTTTGCCATAATTTCCTTTGAATTTCATGATTTACGTCATAAAAACGATAAATAAATCATGTGGCCAAAAGAAATTTCTGTAAATATCCATCAGAATTTACCAGTAATTTTCAATTCCTAAAACACGTGAGGCAGTCTTTTTATATTTGAAGCGAAATAATATTTTATCCTAAACATTTTTTTTATATCAACTGTTTTAAATCACCATTATTACAGTCAATCTTTTGAAATACATGTATATAGATAATTCAGCTCAACTTGCCAATGAAAATATGGGCATAATTTATGTATATGAGTATAATATCACCTCAAATCTATAAAATCAAGTTCACCATGATGGCAATACATCGCGAAACCAAATAATAAAGCTGACATACCTGGTTTATTTCTGGGCTCTACAAGAAGTTGTGCGCTGGTGCGAGCCTCTCCAGCAACATTTTTAGCCAAAGCGCAATACTCGGCATCCTCATCCATCGTAGCCGAGTCAATTGCCAGGATGTAGTCACGGTTACCAAACTTCTCTATTAATAACAGAATTTAAATATGTTACTATGATACCATTATTTGTACTTCTCCTATATCAACCATTTTCTCATAATCCTTTTTCATCGATATAGGGCCCATGAATAAATCTTTCCTTGTTATTTCTTGTAAGATATAAACTATTGTCCAGAGATTGTTTTATTAAGATTATATTGCTATAAAGTTTGTAGCAACTATAGCTTTCAACTACAGTCACTTTTACAAATAAAGAAGGTTTTAAGCAACATCTACACTGAAAAGGTCAAAAGGAGACTTTCTAGCTTGGAGGAAAACAACAGAATCAGATGCAATATTTCAGACATGAGCAAACACTGAAGCAGAACTACTGAAGTTCTTTAAGCTAGCTAGATTGCTTTCTCACGAGAAAGAATTCAAATCTTTGGCAGGATTCAAACCAACAGCATTGAAGGGCCAAACAGTTTGAAGTCAACAACCTTTACCACTAAGCCACGGATATCCCAGACAGAAATTTTTTTAAGAAATATTATAAACTCCTAAGATATTAAATTATTATTATATTATATTTATATATATTCATATTAAATCATATTTACCAAGTTTATAATTGAGTTGGTTCATCAGGATCTTGCCGTCCTTGTACCAAACGACCCTTGGCTGAGGAATGCCCTTGACCTTACATCTGAACTTTACACTTTGACCTTCTTTGACCTCTAGATCTGATAAAGTCTTTAAGAATTCCGGTGCCTTCATTTCTGTTGTGTTTTCTGAAATGCACATGGATCACTTGAAATAATGCATTCATACTTGAATAACAATAAGAAATAGGCAAACAATTAAAAACAAACAAAAAACAACGAATACCAAAAAATCATCTGGTAAATATCTGGTTATAGTACTTGCAACTAATACATTTTTAAAAAATCCATACTGATTTAGCTTATTTTTGAAAAATATTTAATTATTCTAATAAAATAGTGTAAACCTGTCCTGGTGTTGACATGTATTACTTATTTACTTGAAATTATATTGGCAATTTTTTTTTAAATGTAATTGCTGTCTCAAACATATCATAGTGAAAAATTCTTTTTTTGGCAAAATGTTCATTGAAAATTAATCTTAACGATGATTAAAGAAAAAGTTTTAAGTAATTCATTGTAAAACTGTAAATGAAATATTAAATCATCTGTCAAACCACCTGCCCCTCACCACTGTAGGTTCAAATCCCGACATGGACTTCCAATTCTCTTATGTGAGGAAACTTTCCAGTCAATGGTTCTACTCAGGTGCCCATTTATGCCTGAAATAATGCAGGTAGGGGCACCCAAGATCACCTTATGACCTGTGCGATGTAAAACTTAACCCCCAAAAAATTATCAACAAGAGCACCGCTAGGCGGAGCATTATATGCCCGAAAGTATTTTTTTTTTTTAGTAAGGATGACCTTAACCGTTGACCTTTTGACCCAAAAATCAATAGGGGTCTTCTACCCAATATGGACAATCATCCTATGAAGTTTGAACATTGTGGGCCAAATGGAACTTAACATATGCTCCGGCAACTGTTTTCAGTATCAAGGTAATAGTGACCTTCACCTTTGACCTTTTGACCCCAAAATCAACAGGGGTCTTCTACCCAATATGGACAATCATCCTATGAAGTTTGAACATTGTGGGTCAAATGGAACTTAAGTTATGCGTGGAAACATATTTTTCAGTATCAATGTAATAGTGACCTTCACCTTGACCTTGTGACCCCAAAATCAATAGGGGTCTTCTACCCAATATGGACAATCATCCTATGAAGTTTGAACATTGTTGGGTCGAATGGAGCTTAAGTTATGCTCAGGAAAAACTGTTTTCAGTTATAAGGTAATAGTGACTTTGACCTTTGACCTTTTGACCCAAAATCAATAGGGGTCTTCTACCCAATATGGACAATCATCCTATGTAGTTTGAACATTGTGGGCCCAATTGGAACTTAAGTTATGCTCCGGAAACTGTTTTCAGTATCAAGGTCATAGTGACCTTGACCTTTGACCTTGTGACCCCAAAAATCAATAGGGGTCTTCTTCCCAATATGGACAATCATCCTATGAAGTTTGAACATTGTGGGTCGAATGGAACTTAAGTTATTGCTCTGGAAACTGTTTCAGTTATAAGGTAATAGTGACCTTGACCTTTGACCTTTTGACCCAAAAATCAATAGGGGTCTTCTACCCAATATGGACAATCATCCTATGAAGTTTGAACATTGTGGGCCAATTGGAACTTAAGTTATGCTCCGGAAACTGTTTCAGTATCAAGGTCAAAAAGTGACCTTGACCTTTGACCTTGTGACCCCAAAATCTATAGGGGTCTTCTTCCCAATATGGACAATCATCCTATGAATTTTGAACATTGTGGGTCGAATGGAACTTAAGTTATGCTCCGGAAACCGTTTTCAGTTTTAAGGAAATAGTGACCTTGACCTTTGACCTTTTGACCCCAAAATCAATAGGGGTCTTCTACCCAATATGGACAATCATCCTATGAAGTTTTAACATTGTGGGCCAATTGGAACTTAAGTTATGCTCCGGAAACTGTTTCAGTATCAAGGTCATAGTGACCTTGGCCTTTGACCTTGTGACCCCAAAAATCAATAGGGTCTTCTTCCCAATATGGACAATCATCCTATAAGTTTGAACATTGTGGGTCGAATGGAACTTAAGTTATGCTCCGGAAACCGTTTCAGTTTTAAGTAATAGTGACCTTGACCTTTTGACCTTTTGACCCCAAAATCAATAGGGGTCTTCTACCAATATGACAATCATCCTATGAAGTTTTAACATTGTGGGCCAAATGGAACTTGAGTTATGCTCCGGAAAACCAAAAATTGCTAACGGACGGACGGACGACGGACGGACCAAAATTTGATGGTTATGAGGCAATGAGCTCATAAACACCACCTGGACCAACGTCCATAAGCAAAATAAGCTCATAAAAACAAAAAATAGCTCTTAATTTTAAATTTTATGAGTTTATGTTCTTTATTTAACTACGGAATGAAGCTCATAATAATCAAATGTTGGCTCGGACGGACGGACGGACGGACGGACGGACAGACGGACGGACGGACGGACAGACAGACGGACGCCAGGGGGTATAACATAATATGCCCTTTCGGGCATATAAAAATGAAATAATCTTTATTGATTCTTACTTTTTACATGGAGTATAAAGTATTGACAGCACCGGCCTTTCTCGTTTATTGCCATACACATATACTGGCCCGCGTCGGCCTTCGTCATGTTGTACATGTTTATACTCTGACGACTGCCGTCCTTGATAATCTCATAATACTCTGAATTCTCCAACTCTTCGACCTCGTCTCGTACCTTGTACCAAAATACGTCTGAAAATTACATAAACGATAATTAATTGTATTTTCATACCACATGATGAAAATAAATCCTGTATTTATAAAAAAAAACTATCTAATGAGTCATAATAATGTGACCAATAAATTATTATGTAACAACAAACCTGTGAACAAAATGCCACCTAAAATAGAGACTGAACATGTCCTTTATAGACAAGTGCTCTTTATTTGGAGGTTACTCCTTTTCAATATTATCAATGAAGTGTTATCAGAAAATGGCATTTATTTACAGGGTATTTTTTATTCAGAGATGGTCTTTTAACATAGGTCTGACTGTACATGTAGGAAGCATATCTGAAAATTTTCTGATTTTACGCAGCTATTCTAAACTTAAAATTTGATATAATTTCAAATCTTTGCAAAACATCTTATCTTTTATTCAGATAATATAGTTTTCTAAAGTTGGATTATTTAGTTAGTTATCTATTTTCTGGAATTGGGTTTCAAGTCACATCCACATTGCTATGGTCATATGGAAAATGTTCAGCTTTCATGATTAAAGACCTCAGGTGCCGTTACATCATTCAATCATAACTTTAAAACATAAATGTCAAATTATTAAAATGCAATTCATGTACACCTTATTCAAAATCAATATACAAGAAAAATTCTAAAGCATCAGATTAAAGAGTAAAATTCAAAATTTTTACTAAGAAATTATATTTAATGAATATTTTAAGATTGAATACCTAAAGGCTGAGTACCAGCCACTCTACAGGTTAACCTTGCTGGTTCCCCTTCTGAGATGGTTATACTGTCTGGTGGAATTTCAAACTTTGGATCGTCACCTTCTGCAGGTACCAGTTCTTCTGATAACTTTACTGCTGACTTTTCACTAACACGACTATCAAAACTGTACTGTTCCGGTCGATTAGTACGGAAACCAGAATCGGAAAATGAAGAGTTCGGTCGGGAAACCATGGACTCCAAATCAGATTCCCCGTCCGTCTGGATTGAAATGTTGGCGAGAGGTGCAACTTGAGTGGAACTGGTAGTTTTACGTGTTATACGAGCGATTTCTTCGCTTGTTTTTGCGTAGAATGAACTTTCCTCGTCGCTCAAATCTCTGTCCTCATTCTCAGACAAATCAGACATGTCATCTACATCTCTATAAACACATTAAATAAACAAAACTTTTTGATACATTGGCATATAAAATAATTATAATTATAATTCAAACGACAAATTTTTGAAACTTTTTGTTGCAAAAATTTGTTTATTTATGATAATTGTATATAAACAATGTTATATAATTAGAACATGCAACATCATAGCTTTTGCAACTGTTCATGTAAATGACTCAAAATGGATTCTTGTATCGAAAAATTTAAGACTTTTGAAAAATAAATGCATGTACATTTAGTTGAATTGATGGAGCAAACTATTGTTAATGAAATCATGGATTAATCAGAAATACGAAGTTACTGTTATTGATAGATCGTTTAATGGAAGGAACTTCAGGAGTGAAATTCTTGCCTACAAAAATTCTTCTTAGTACGAGTTTATTGTGTTTTCATGCTATTTGCCACCAGAATGTTCAGTCTGTAGTCATGATGTTTCTAGTTTTCTTCGCACATTTATTATCCCAAATTTTATATACAATTACAGTGACAGTGATTTTTAACTTTACTTTGATCAATGGTCACACACATTGGATAATAAAACAAGAGCTGTCTGTAGGACAGCACGCTCGACTATTCTAAGTGCTTGATAGTAAAAGAGCCTTGATATTGTTAAATTTTTTAAGTTTACAAAAGGGCTAATTTTTTTTATAAATTCTTGTTATAGGCCTTAGAGAGAGTCTAATTAAACAGTATTGGCTTGACTATTCGGAAGGTAATGTCACAAGGGTGTTTTATTGAGTATAATAATACTAATTACCTATGAATACATAAATTTGACAGAAAAGGTACAAAGGCTTGTTATTAAGATGTTTTATCAAGTAAATCACTGCTTTATTATTATGAATGCATAAAATTGTCCCAAAAAAGGCACAAACCCTTCAGTAGTTATTGAGATAACAGCTTACAAATGAATTTCTAAGTTGAAAAAGGGGAGAAAAATCAGCCTAAATGCAAGATAGAATTATGGATCTTTGTCAGTGACCTACAATTATGACCCTAAATGCATATGTGAAGTTTTAAATAAATATCTTTAATAGTTATGGAGATATGTAAAACTTGCATGTAAACATTAACCAAGAGACTAAGTAGAAAAGGGGATATGAATCAGCCTTAAGGCAAGATAGAGTTATGGAACTTGGTCAGTGACATACAATAATGACCCTCCAATTATGACCCTAAGTGCATGTGTAAAGTTTCAAGTAAATATCTTTGAAGACCTTTAACCTTTAACCAAAATTTCTAAGTTTCAAAGGGGCAAATAATTCTGCAAATATTGCAGGCAGAGTTATGCAATTTTGCAAACTGATGTACATTGTTACTATAAAAAAGCATTTTAATTTTCAATTGAATATCTCAAGCAATAATTGAGATATTTGACTTTACAAAAAAACTTTAACCAAAATTTCTAAGTTCCAAAGGGGCAAAATTCTGTCAATATTGTAGGCAGAGTTATCAAACTTGTCAATCTGATGTACCTTGTTACTATAAATAAGTATTGTAAGTTTCAATTGAATATCTCAAGGAATAATTGAGATATTTGACTTTACAAAAAAACTTTAACCAAAATTTCTAAGTTAAAAAGGGGCATAATTCTGTCAATATTGTAGGCAGAGTTATCCAACTTGTCAATCTGATGTACCTTGTTACTATAAATAAGTATTGTAAGTTTCAATTGAATATCTCAAGCAATAATTGAGATATTTGACTTTACAAAAAACTTTAACCAAAATTTCTAAGTTAAAAAGGGGCATAATTCTGTCAATATTGTAGGCAGAGTTATCAAACTTGTCTATCTGATGTACCTTGTTACTATAAATAAGTATTGTAAGTTTCAATTGAATATCTCAAGTAATAATTGAGATATTTGACTTTACAAAAAACTTTAACCAACGCAGACGCCGACGCGGACGCGGACGCCGACGCCGGGGCGACTACAATAGCTCTCATATTCTTCGAATAGTCGAGCTAATAAGATCTTTATTGGCATTCACAAGAGTTTCTGTAAAAGATGATCCAGATGTGGTGACAAGGGACAGTTTTGTCCATAGCTAAACATAGAAAGTAGTGATAATTAAAAACAATACCTGTTACCAATGGTTGGAGCTAATATTTCATTCGGTTTAGGCACCATAACATAACCATCACCAAACTCTGCCGACTGTCTACTCTTTCCTGTAATGTTATTATATGGAGCCATTCCACTGGCACCTATACAAAAAATAATAAATTTATTAATAAAGATAATTTTTTCTAGAGATATTTATATAGAGAATATCTTTCCTTGTTTCGATGCAAATTATTTGAAGTCTTCCTTTCTAAATTTGCTAAATTTCAAATATTATTTACATTTTTTTACAACTTTTAATCCTTACCAAGCTAAAGTTAAAAGACTTGTTTGTTTGGTTTTATGGTGCACCAACACAGGACATATTGAGCCCAAACAGGAAAATGATTGCATGTCTAGGACATGAAAATGATAAAATATTCAGCAAAAATACAGCGACGACTTCTTGAAGTGCTAACATATCTCCTTTGTTTATTATAATTTATACAACCATATTTAATCATCCCTCATCCAGAAAATCCTACAAAAATAATTCTGGCAATTTTTTTAGTTTTCTTCAACCTCATTTCATACTAAAATTACAAATTTCCAAGTTTTGTTTGTTTGTTTGTTTCATTTTACACCTTTTCCCCCCGACAGTATTTCAGTTATATAGGCGGGTAGTTTCCTTAAACCATCATTCCTGGAGAGTTACACCAGTACTAAACTACCTCCCTCCGTGCTAAACTACCAAAGCATCTCCCTGGGATCAAACCCACGCCAGAGAGGTAACTAGATTAGAAGTCATCGACTCTAACCTCTTGACCACGGAGGCAGTAAATTGCCAAGTGAAAGCTTTTATTCACCCAGAGACAGAGAATACATAGACAAACCTTTAAAGATCCAGTTCCCTCTCCAATCTTGTTCATACTCTGAATCTTCATTTTCTTCTTCTTCTTCAGCGAGCTCCTCTTCTGTTTCTTCTAGAATCGGCGCTAGATTCATAGATAACAAATCAGGATCAACTTCATTTAAACCAAAATCATGATATTCATAATCCAAGTCACTAAAATCTGGTAAACCACGATTTTCCGAATCGTGAACTTTATCGTATGTGAAAAATCGGGACGTGAATTCTTCATGGGACTCCTCGTGATCAACTTTCACACATTCCATACTTTCCTCAATCGGTACTGGTTCAACTTCTTCAACAAATTTCACTTCCTCATATAAAGGACGCGGCACAACTTCTCGTGCAAAAGTTCGCAACTTTTCAAACTCCTGTTTTAAAATAATCTCATCCTCTTTATCATCAGTTTCCGAAACACTCGACCCTAGTCTAGGCCTTCCTTTCTTGTCACTAGTGTTTTCCGGTTCAGAATCATGATTTATATCCTGGTTTTCACCAGAACTTGAATCATGTCTTTCATTACCGGATTCAGAATGTCCGGAACTTAATCTCTGTCTTTGATGTTCCGGTTCTGAACGATCTGAATGAGTTCTTTTTCTCCTATCTCTTTGAGTGTGTTTTCCAACTTGAACATCCTCATCAAAGTCTTCATCAACATGATGTTGAGGCTGAGGTGAATGTTTTCCTGAGGTTTTAATTTCACCATCAATATCGTCTTCATTTCTATAATCTTTATGTATATCTGCCTTTGCCCATTTGCCTCTGTCTTTAATATTGGCATTAATATCACTTTCATTTGAGTTGGAATCTCTATAATCTAATCTAGTTGCACCTTTGTGCAATATATGTTCATTTGGCACCATTTCATGTACATTAGGCTCTTCTGCTACTGAAGAGCCTCTACTCCTCACTACTGTTTTTACCTCCAATCCTGAAGAGTCACTATTTCTGCTGTCGTCTGCAGGTTCATTGAGTTCAAGATGAACACCATTTTGATTTCTATGTAATTCTAGCACCTGCAAGATTAGAAGAACATTTCCATATCAAGTTTTATAAACTTAAACAAATTGCATCTCTAAAAGTAAAATATGACATTTAATACAAAGACATACTTTTTCTGAAATTCTAAAATAAGACATGAAAACTTTATGAAATTCAGTCCTTTATCTGGACAATAGCTGAAACCTCAAACAGCATATATTATGCTTGGGCTAATTTTTCGTTCAATTTCAACAGAATACTAAGCATTACTTCCTTATAAAACCAGCACCAATGATGACTCACACCATGCCTGTACCACAGCAAACCCTGTAGTGTTGGATTTAAATATTTTGCTACATAAGGTGCTAAACTATACCATATAAATTATGGCCTGAAGGTTATATCAATTTTTTTCTGAGTTCTGTCTCAAATCACAAGATTTTTATTGGTCAGTGTACATTATTTGTACCAGTTTCTGACCAATCAAATACCCAAGATCTAAGTTTGAACCATGAAAATTTCTTTATAACCTTGGACCATGCACGGTGTGAAAAAGCTATACCATACTATACAAATAGCTTATGCATAATCTAAAAAAAAAAGCAATACCATACCCTTGCAATAACTGCCTGAGCAATTTGATCCTCTAGGGATTTTTGTTCTCCAGATTCATCTGAGAGGGATGACAGATCTGACACTGCCTCATCACTTGTCTAAAATATATGTAACCAAATAGTAACATGGTTTCAGTGTTTCTTTTTCAATAACAAAAATTATAATCATTAATTTTTTGAAAATATTTTCCTTAGGGAACTGAAAAATTTCAGACTATTGCTTGCATTTTTCTTATCTATTCATCGAAACTAATACATTTTTGGCCAGGTTGCACAGGTGCAAACCAGGGTCAAAATATGTTTAATTTCGGGTGGCGGAAGGGCAGGGAAAATTTTTCATAACATCACAGCCTCATGATATTTGATATACAACTGCAACCCGGCCATTTTTGTCTTTGATACATTTTCTTTTATATTTCATGCAATATGATGGCAAACATTAAGTTCTAACAATGTCTTGCTAACTATTTCATTATTTGACTAGTTGATTTTAATACCTGTATTAATGTCCCAAACTAAATAACTATGCTAATATCTAATGTATTAGTCTATACAAACATTAACCTATCTTGAGGCAATAAATAACAGACTAATGTTTGACAGTTACGCAGACATGCAATACAATTGTTCTTTTATCTGTTTTAGAACTTTTGAACCAAAAATCCCTGAACTACATATGGACTGTTCCAAATTCATATTTTAGGCTAGTCCATTATATAAAATGAAGAGCAGAAATAAATCTCACAACCAAAATGTAACTCCCGAGTCAGAAAGTCATATTATCTTTAACAATTTACTTGAAATTGTATCCTAATATGAACTACTTTTGAAAATGTTCCTACAATTATGTTCTCCCAATGACCATGGTGGGTTCAAATCCCACTAGAAAATTTGATTCATTCATGTGAGGTTGATCTAATTAACTTACCAAATCAAGAGATTCACCGAGTCTATCCTCCACTAGTTTTGAGATCATTAGTTTCACTTTCTGTGATGTCAGACTTGGATTACACGCACAAGTTTCATCAAAACCTATAAATATTAACCATATATGAGCCGTGTCATGACAAAACCAACATAATGGGTTTGCGACCAGCAAGAATCCAGACCAGCCTGCGCATCCGCGCAGTCTGATCAGGATCCATGCTGTTCGCTTTCAGTTTCTCTACTTGTAATAGATTAGGTAAGCGAACAGCATGGATCCTGATCAGACTGCGCGGATGCTCAGGCTGGTCTGGATCCATGCTGGTTGCAAACCCATTATGTTGGTTTTGTCATGACGCGGCTCATATATACATTTACAATGAGAAATTTCCATCACGGTACTCAAGAGTGTATAAAAAAAATAAGAGTTATCTTTAGGACAGCATGCTCGGCTATTTTCAATACTAGATAGTAAAACAAGAGCCTGGATATTGTAAAATTTTCTGAGTTCAAAAAGGGTCACATTTCTGTCAAAATCTATGTTAGAGTTTTGGGTCTTGAACAGTGACCTCTTTTAATGCTCTCAAACAAGTGTGTGAGCGAGTGCTGGAATTCAGTTTTGCAACTCAACTATGCCACCAAGCTGTTCACAGATTTTTACATTGGATCAAATCTAGACTGTGACAAAATAATAATCGTCTTACATAATAATCTAAGATGAGAAATTTATGAGATACAAGTTAAATTTTATGCAGTTTAAACCCTACATTTTCTTACATAAACAGACAAAATTTAAATTTACAATGCTGAAAAACCAAACAGATAATAAAATAAAATAAAAAAAACCCAGATCAAAATGATATACAGTGTACACTGTATATTCCCTTCTATAAATGGAAGCTAAACAATCAATAGAGACTTCACTAATGTAACACAGTAATGCTGATAAAATACAGAATATTTCTATATAAAGAACACCACACAGAAACCATTAAATTTACAACATTTGCACAAAATGAGTACGTACTGCCACTATAAAATGTTCAAAATAAAGCATCAAAAAATTGAAATTTAAAAATACTCCACTACTTCAAATTCCTAACCAGTCATAAATTGAGAATCCTTTTATTGAAATAGTTTTTTCATTTTGTTTTTGTATTTTATGTAACACCTGTTATTTGAAGTATGTTAAGTTAAAATGCACTTATTTGACCTTAATTTTGTGTGTTGCTTGTCAGGGTTTTATATAGTTTTGTTGTCAGGAAGCTGCCACTAATTATACAATTATAATGAATGAATATTATTTAATAATTAATCTTGTCTAGGGGGACGGTTTTGGTAAATAGGCGCCTGATGTTCAAACTTTTTGTCCTATAATCCAATGATATAAAACAGATTTTCAAAGCAAATTAGATGCCCTTAATTGATCTAAACATTCAATGAATTATAACAAAAGTTAATCAAAATTTAAATACACTCATCAAAAGGGAAGCAGGGGATTAGTGGTTAAGGTGCCTGCCTCTCAACCTAGCAATCATGGGTTCAAGCCATACTGGCTTCACAACCTCATATAACACAAGTACTGGTTAGTTCCAGGTAGCATACTCAATAGTGGTCCATATAAGCTTCAAACATTCTTCATAGTCAACCTTAAAATAACTACCGTTTAAACTAAGTCAGCACAATATGAATATACCCTTCAGGGAGTTTGGGCGCTTTGTAGCAATAAATAACAACCGAAAAAGAGATACTATGACTCATATGTTCTATACTTACTCTCAACAGCAAGTTCCAATCTTTGAGATAGACTCACTAACAGATCTTTTACTCTTCCTCTATATGTGGACATCAATTCACCATCTGTAATAATAAAATTACCATGGTAACCAAATACTTCTACATTTACAAATATTCATCCTTGCATGTGACAATGATATTTTCTTCTAATACACGTCTCAAGGGGTATTTTCAAATGTATTACAATATTAAATAAGATGCTAATGTTTCAGGCTATTCATTCTTGCATGAGATTTTTAATTGTATTTCTATGTCTTTCAGGGTATTTTCAATGTATTATTAAATAAGATGCTTATTTCAAGTTGGTGTGTTTTCAGTTTTAAAAGTATTATTTTGTTATTTGTCTGAAATGTCTTCATGTATAGAATCTTGTATTCTGTCATGTCATGTAAACTCGTCTGCTGCATTTTTAACATAAACTTCAAAAAGATGTTTTAACATACATTTGTAAAACATAAACCTCAGCTAATCTTAGGTTTAACCTGGATGTAACCACCTGCCTTCATCACAAAATAATATAGTGTGCAAAGCCAGCTTTAACATACTTTGGTGTCTGACCAAGCTCTGCCAGGTGCTGATTTTTTTAGTATTTTGACATGAAATCCCTGTTCATTAATAAATTCAAAGCAAGACTTGCAAGACATGTTTGATGTAATTGTAATTTTGCAAAATGTTAGGGGCTAATCTGCAACAGTAAATTGTTCCCTCTACTTACATGAAGTGCTGCCATATTGTGAGGGAACCTGTCCATCTCTAGGTGACAGGGCTTCAAAAGATTGTTGCATCTCCTGTAGCAAGTTGTCAAAGCGAACCTTGAACTTGGCTTCCTCTGTCCTCTTGGTACTTTCGAAAGCCTCTTTATATATGTCTAAAAATAGTAACAAATTTAAAGAAATGTTAAATAGTAACTAATTTACATACATGTATGTCTAAAAATAGTAACAAATTTACATATGTCTAAAAATAGTAACTAATTTACATACTTGTATGTCTAAAAATAGTAGCAAATTTACATATTTCTGAAAATAGTAACAAATTTGTATTGAGAAGCATTACTATGCTGTAGAATCAAAGGAACTGATGCAAAGATGAGACAAAACACATATGACATTGAACAGTTTGTAATCTTTCAAACTTATTAACCCCTAAACTGGCAAGATTTAACATTGCACTGGTATGCCAAATTCAAAATTGGAATTTGCTTCGCCAGCCAAATTTGTAAAAAAAACAAGTGAATACAAAATGTATTGTATAACTATGTTACCACACAAAATTACTTGCACAATTTCTCAAAAGCATAACCTAATTACGACCTGCCTTTAAACAAAATACAAGATATGAATGAAGACAAAAAGCATTTTTGACATTACTACCGATTGTTTGACAACCATATTATTAACACTGTAATGTTTATCAATGCAAGGTCATTTTGGCCATTGTCAAGACCTACTTGTACAAAAACATCATAACAGCAATAAAAAATCAATTACCGCACAGCTTATTGATAAAAATAGCCATGTTTTATTGATTATGGTTATCATTATATTAATTAATCATTGCCACTTAATTAGATTTATGGAGTAGACCTCACAACCTGTACGATGGTACATAAACAAACACCCATAACTATCTTTATGATAAAGTGACCTGAAAAAGCATTACTTTCAGTTTTATTTTTTACCTTTTTGCAACAACTACCTAATTTCTGTAATAAAAATGTAAAACCTATCAAAACATGCATGTTTTTTCCCCCAAGAAGATAATACTAAATTTATATATTAATAATGTTTTCCTTAAAAAGCTATATACTGTAACATTTTAATTAAGGAGACTGCAAGGTAGAAACTTTCTGGAATGTTCATGACTAAATTGGGGAAAATTTCATCAGTTAAGTCAATTAATGAAAGACCTATATTCAGCTTCAATTTTGAGCAAAAAAAAAAGTGGTGCGAATTAGGCACAGGCGAATGAATTACCCTAAACAAAGTGGGTTTTACGTTGAATTTTGCTGAATTGTTTGATCAGTGGTCTTTAAATTGTTGGCCGTCCCGACCTTATTATTTAATAATCAGAAATGCACCCAAAAGTGTAGTTGTACTAAGTCAGACTAACACATTGTAAATTTAACACTGTCAAGCTGGGGCTAAAACAAAGTAAAAGATGAAAATAGATGACAATGGTCACTAGTGACACACTGACTCACTTCTTCAAGGGTAAAAGTATAAATTTACATGACAAGATAAAGTTTATGTATGTACCTAGTTTTAGCCCCGCCTCTGAACCAGGTGTTAACATGTTAAAATGACCTTAAGTGACCTTTTGTAGCAAGATTGACAAAGAAACTGAATGACCCCAATGTGATAAAACTAAAAACTTCACTAGGTGCAAAACCATTTTTAAATCCTTCATTTCAACCGGTTTGTCACAATTTATCCATGTTTGCTAAATGTCACACAAATTCTCAGGAAAATAAAAAACCTGGTCAGCTTGCACATTCATACAGTTAAAGACCAGACTCTATATTGTTGGCAGCCAAAAATCTGTATTTAACAGTGCATCCAGGTTAAATTGACAATGCATAACCTAAGTGCAGTAACAGGTTAACTGCTTATATAATTTAATAGTAGTTAACCCATTACTGCATTAAGGTGACAACATATTGTTTCAAATTCTTAGCTTAAATTACTACTGCTTTTAACTATTTTATCTCAAATACTTACAACATAACAAAAACACATTTATATAATCATGTCAAATGCCACCTAGAATCTTTCAACCTTAAAACCATTAAAATGTTCTTTTCTATTTACATTTCACAAGAAAAAAACAAAAACATTTTACAAAATATGTCCAGAAAATGACATATTTTACATAAACCATAGTAACTATACCACCAACTTTGCATAAATATTTTAATTTTTTGTCTTCGCATATTCAAATCTGCATTATTTTTCTATTTAATTAGAGAGTAATACTTAATACGATAAATTAAAACGCTTAGTCAGCTTGCGGCCAATACAGACCAGTACCAGTAAGCATACCTGGTCAGGATTATGGTTTGCACTGTTCACTATTCAATCTGTGCATACGATAAAAAATGTCCTTAAAATTCTGACTGAAAGACAGACAATTCCATTTTAAGATATTTAGTCATGTACTAATTAATGCAATAAAGTTACACAGAAAAACTGTAACATAAATAATTTCTTTATTTTTTTTTAGTATTTGACAGTTTTAGATAGTTATACCACACGGACAGTGTTTAAAACACTAGCAATATAAATCACTAACTTTCATAAAATTCTTTTTTCATACAGGCACATCCCATAAGTATTTACATGCTGTATTATATAATCAGCAAAACTGTGCAATTGTCAGAATGTGGGTACAGATACTATAAATTACACTGTAAGGGAGACAGCTGTTGTTAGACAACTTGTATGTCAGATTATAACACTAAAATATATTAGTTGTACCACACCTTTTATGTTGTATAACAAAAATTACTTTATTCTAAAACATTAATTAGATAACCCAAAACATTTAAGATGGAAATTTTTTTATATCCTTAAAATGGAAGGATTCAGTCATCATGTGAACTTTTTTGGATGATTAAGTTGGAGGGTTTTTTTTTCAAAAAGAGGGAGATTTTAGAATTTGTAATATACAAAGAAGAAAGTCCTGACATCAAAAGAGGGACATTTCTTTAACTTGTGAAAATACCCCTTATTCTAGGAAACTAAGAAAAATCTTTGAAAATAATATAATTGGCTGCAGAAAGTGGCAGTCTCCCGCTAAAAGAGGGAGGGTTCACATGTTTGGCAAAAATGTAACATATTTTTTAAGACATTCTATAACACTGCCTATTCTAAATTTCAACATAGATGTACTTCATTACCATTAATTTTTATTTTAGACTTTCATGTAACTCTTATGATAGAGGGATAGAGGTATCCTCCGAACATCAAAAATCTCCCACCTGACTTCCAAAAGCTATTTAATAACAAAGGGGCCAGATATGCTGAGATCAATACCTTTAAACAGTGCTTATAAATAAGAACCAATCAAAATGGCTTATAACCATGAATTAAAATATTCAAATTCTGTCACTATAAATAGTTACAAAATTTGAATTTATTTTTTACAAAAGGGAGATAATTTACCTCTTTTCTCCTGTTCTTTTGTGTCGAGATCTTCAATAGTTTGAGTTGGTGTGGTCGCTGTCCTCGGGTGTGGTACCGGAGTCGTCTGTGTGGAGATTTGTATACTTTCCATAGACGTGTCCGGTGACCCGTCAATCTCATTGTTGTTGTTGTTATTGCATATTGTTCCATTTGTCTGTCTCGGTGAAATCTGACCAAGAGGTGGTGGTGGAGAGAACAGGCTATTGTCAATTTCTGAAATTAGAGAAAAGAAAGTTGATATGAATGATCATTGTGAAGTGAAGTTTCAAATGTTTAATTACATTGTATAATATAATAATGTCAAAATTGAGCACAAACACATCTTTTAGTGCCATAGTTTCTGTGCAGCTGCAAAAAAAGAATTTTGTCTTCAAGCTGCTGATAACAAAACAGCATTGCAAGCAATAATTTTGTAAATGATAATATTTCTCAAGATTTATTATGTACTGATAGAAAAAAATATATTTTGGGTTGGAGGAAATAGGGGGATCTGGAATAAAGGAAGAGAAGAAGTGGATTGGAAATCTAGGGCTGAGATGTTGATTATAATGAAGAAAACAGCAACAACATTTAAGAACTCTAAGACATAAAGGCTAGATTACAGTTGTGACTTGCCAAAATGGGATACAAGGTGGAAATCGCTCCAGAAACCAGTTTTAAAATCAAATTGACAATTTCACTAATGAACTTTCCAACGGAAAAAAGGTCATGACACTTCAAATATTTCATATGCTCTTAAATCCCATCATCAATTCTCTCCTAAATAACATAGTAACTATCATCTTAGACCAATTCTGTATGACGTTAAAACTCGCCTATCTTTTGACACCGTTCCAACTCGGTTAACGGTACGCTATATATTCGGTCCATCCATCACCTCGTTCGTGGATTCATCTACATCAAAGTAGTAATTACATTTCACAAGTAATCCCTATAAGCCTTTTGTAAAGCCATTCCATACTAAACATGGGACTTAACAGATAAAAATAGCAATGTAGATTCAATGATGGCTTTAGATACAGGTTCGCCCAACATATGAACAAATGTTCGGGAATAACTTTAATATTGTTTACATGTTACAGTTTATACCAATGTACCAGTACCAATGTCAGGCTCATGCTTCTATTGGAAGTTACTGTGCAAGGCCAAGTATGGTATATAGCAAGTGGATTAGATGGTTTAACTTTAGATCAGGACTCTCAGGTACAAGCCACCTGAGGTGCTAGGATCACAACTATATTACATAGAGGGGTTATTATTCTAGTTGTCATAGTAATCACCTTTCTCCACCATGTGATACTTAAAAACATATCTCGGAAAATTTTCCTTAATCATGCTCAACATTATATGAATACATCCAAGCTTTTTTACAAAGCAGGTGCTTACTTTTTTCTTTTCTTTTTTTTAACCTTGTTACACACTTGAATACTCTACCAACTAAATTCTAAATGCCATTTTCTGCAAATTAACTTGACTAAGGGCGTGAACATGCACACCCTATTAACCTGCACAATGTTTATGTTGTTATTCCGATGAACTTCACACAACCTTTCATAATATACGACATTATTAAAGTTTACATATAGTTAAATATTTCGCTATTTGTATAAGCTTCTGTGAATACATTAACCTCGTTTAGGGCTTCAAAGTAAACATAAATCTTTTGGCATTTATAAATATATAATATATATATACCAAAACATTTCTATCTTTCAAGGTACGCAATTTAAACTAATCTATTTATCTAACAAGTGAAATTTGTACCAAAGTTTGGGGATACATGGAGAATCCACAAAAATCGTAAAATATTTGAATATTTGATTTTCAAGGACTACTAGCCGTTTAAAATTGGATTTCTGACACTTTTTGTTAAAATATAAAACTGATTTAATTATAACAGATAAGTAATATCTAAAAGTAAGAACATACATTTAAGAATATATATATCTTTAATATGCAAACATATTTAAAATAGTGATGAAATTATTTTTTTACCTTTTAACAAACAAAAATTATCTGTCTTAATCATTAAGAATCTTAATATAGATTTATACAATAAAATGAGAGCTAAGAAATGCTGATGTCCCTTAGTAATTAAAACTTTTCCTTGTTAAAAAATAGGTGGGTTCAAAACTTTAATCTTCAAGTCCTAAAACCTTTTTTTTGCCAACTTTGGTACAATGGGCATACAAAATGCCAAACACCTTTACCCAAATAAGCAGAGTTTGCCCAAGTTCCAGTCAAACATAAAAGTATCATAAAACAAATTTATGCTAACATTGTGAAAACATAATTGAATTATTTTCTAAACATTGTAAAAAAAATTCAATCTTGTCGTTTGAAATCATTATCATATTTCCACTAATTAACATTCTGAAGAGTTTGATTATATAATAGTTACTGTCAATCAAACATTAACCCTTGAGTGGCAGCGTTGCCGAGTGAACCCTTGAGTGGCTGCATGGCTGAGTGGTTAACGCGTCTGACTTAGGTAATCTAAAGATTGCTTGACGCGTTGGTTCAAAAAGCTGTTGTTTCTCTGAGCAAAAAACATAACACTCATTATATACAGGTTGGTCCCAGGAACACTGATTCGAGAGTGTTTTAATAAGCTTATATATATAAATAGCTTCCAACACAATCGAACTAAAATAAATTAATACAAACTAACATTAATAAAAAGTACTATTTGCCCATAATATATATCTTACAAAAACCATAAAAGATCGGAGGCACTTTGTACCTTTTTATAGCAAATTGGACAAGCTGGCATTGAATGGAAGCGCTCTGGAAGACAAATATTAAATTAATAATATCATAGTAATTTTCCATTTGTTACACATTGTTCCGAGTGTTTGTACAGTCACAAGGTTATTCATTACAAGCAAATATAAGACCTGCTGATCTATTAAAAAGGAAGCCAAACAAAAATCTAGGACCACAGTTTCTAAATTTACCCAGTACACATGAATCATAATTATGATCAGGTGGAAACTCTTCAAAAATGAAGTCAAATAAATAGTGGGTGGCTAAACTCTTCAATTTGAAGGTAAAAATGATAGTTCAAATAAGCTGATTCATAACATTAACATGTCCGAAGCTTTGACATCTTGCACTTTAAATCACTTGCGGGTAAAGAAATGTTTTAATTAGATATTATCGCAATATTAATTCTATAAACGCGTACTGGTCGGTCAAATATTTTCTTTAATTTAGAACATTTCAATGTACTAAGAGTTTAGGAAAAGTAGAAAGATTCTAGATTCGAGTAATAATTTACATGTTATGGGAGATTAATGGTTATTTAATTAATTATGTGTTATTTTACTATATTTCTACTGCATTTCTACTGTGTTACTAACCCAGTAAGGGCAATTTTTGCGTATTTTGACCTCTATTTGTAATTAACATCGGCTGTAAGTGCCATTGATGTTAATTGCTTCCTTTTGGTTAATATACAATACATGTATTTTGCTTTTAACTACATTTTCAAACTTTTCATGAGAATTATAAAGCATGCTGCTTTAACAACAAAAAACAAACAATTTTCAAAATATTTTTTTTTCCCCTCGCAGATTTTCAATACTTTAATACTTTGAAATACTTTCAATGCAAAACATATTTATCATATCATATTATGAAAATAGCATTCATACAAGTGTCAACTAAAGTTCATACACCACTAAACTCTTCAAAATAATCCTTATAAAATTTCATGGGGTATCGCTATCAGTAAATATATATGATCAGAATAATTAGATGCGTGTCCAGTGGTTCACGATATTATAATCAAATCCCACCATGACCATCATTAACTATGTGAGAAAAAACCGATTAATATCATCGTGAAAAAAATAACGCCACCGCAACCATCATGTATTTCAAAAATTAAACGCTATCTGATATATACTCCATTGAAAAACTCTGAACTGCGGAAACCTTTTCAGACTATTATAGATCTACCTTTAAAAAAAAAAATTTTTATGAAAGGTCAAATAAAGTCAATGAATGCATGTCAGAACGTGACTTGTGAGAATCCAATGTCAAAATAAAACGCATTTTTAATAACAAAACAAAATAAATCTCTATAGTAAAACCTGTACATTTAGACCATCTCTGTGCAAAGACCACACAAAGAATACATGTCAATTATGCTTGGTTCTTTAATAATTGTACAGTGAGACCTTATTATAATAAATACAGGGTAAGCCTAATATCACCTGTTAAAACTTTTTATGCAAATTTTCTCCTGACAAAAGCATTTAAAGGCTTATTAAAAGAAATGATATAAAAATGCAGAAAAAAAACATCACCATATTTTAATAGTAAATATGAATGAATTTTCAATTTCTACCCACTAAGCAAAGTTATAATTTATTGCTTCATAAAATTTATGCAGAATGGCTAAAAAATTTTGTTCATCAAAGCATATTAAGTTTTAACTAAAGAATGTTTTACGCGGTTTTTGCGGTTAAAGTTTCGGTACACGTAATGTGACAGTACCTCATGTGGTATCAAAATACTCCCATCTGAAGATTGAAGTATTAAAATTTCTTCTAGGTATATACCCATTACATCCTAATATCATCTGGTGACAGTATTTTCATGATAAAAACTGTTTTTCCAGTAATTTAATTCAAATAAAACCACTTTGATCGTCCAGTATTCATCCATCGGAAAACATATGGTGTTTAACTACTTAAAAGTACTCAGTCACGCTTTTATACAATATAACTACCTTTGAAGAAAATGTTCATTAAATACTGGGAGATACCTATAAGAAAAAAAATTTCTCTACGCTTTGTTGTTGCTGTTTTTTTTTTAAAAATATCATGATTGTAGTATCAATAAACAGTCAAAATTATTACAATTAGATCAAGTGAAACAGAAAACGTCATACTTAATATCCGAAATACCCTGAAAACATACTTAGGTAAAAAAATTTCATAACATTGGGCTGAGTTCTAAATCAGATACGCTGTTTCACTAATTATGTCTTTGTTAATGTCTCTCTGTTCTTTTTATTCATTTATTTATGCAAGCAAATTCTTTACTTGAACATGCAACCAACTATTCCTATTCATGTTTAAAACTGATCACTTGAAATTTCTTAAATATTACTGGTAAAAAATTCAACATCTTTTGGTGGCCTACTGGGTTGTCATTTGGAGGATTCCTCAAAACTAAGTAAAACACTCTTTCTAGTATGTTCT